TTTACAAGTTGAACCAAGATATTCTGGAAAAAATATCAGAGCTCCAGGGACCAATTCGAGTTATTGCCGCCGTTGGAAATGCAAGAGTTGGAAAATCTACCACCTTGAACTTAATCAGCCATATTTGGAATGGGAAAAACGAAAATTCAGCTGTCGAAGAGATTTTTAAAACCGGAGATTCATTCGATGCAGTTACGCGCAATGTGTGGGCGCATATAATTAAACATAAAACTGACAATGGAAACATTGTGTTACTGGATGTGGAAGGCACTAATCTGGGTGATGATAGCGTAACGGATCGCCTCAGTATGTTTACGGCCATGATGTCTTCTGCGTTAAATGTTTTTGCATTAAACATCGTGGGAAATAGCGACACTTCTTTCTTTATCGCATAGCACGCTTGAGTGACCTGGTGTTCAAAGATAAAAATATACAGTCATATTTCCCCAAACTTCGAGTTGTAATAAGAACTCAACTGGACCCTCCAAGTAACGACAAAATCCGTGATGAAATCGTCAAACGTGGCAGCGAAAGGGGCCAAATCATCGAAAAATACTTTCCCAGGAATACCATTGAAGTCAGCCATATTCCTACTATCAACGACTGCAGCCGACTACTTAAAGATCAAAAGAAATTTAGCAAGTCTGACTGGGAAGCATTTCAAAGTCTGGCAAGTAACCTACAAAATTCCCCGCATAAAAAAAGCCTTGAGGGAAGTATTTTCGATGGTGCAACATTTAAACAGCTCGCTGAAAAGGTTGTGGAAGCAATGAATCCCGACGACTCCTGGAGGGATTTCGGGGATGTTTATGCCACCTTAGAAAGGGACATTTGCAGACGAACGTATAAGAAGCACATCACGCCAGTTTTCAGGCAAAGGTCACAAGGAATACTAGACAAGATGATAGATGCTTTGGATAAATTTACAAAGGACTGTGTCTTAGAAGATGAGATAACCAACGCCAAGGAAGATCTTGAGGTCACACTTAACCAGAAAAGAAAAAGAGAGTACGAAGAGAGACGGAGACAAGAGGAAGATGACAGAGGAAGAGCGGAAGAAGAAAATAGAAGAAGACACGAGGAAAACAATAACTGGGAAAATTTGAAGACTGGGGCAACATTTCTCGTGACTTTCTTGTTGGGTGGATACTGGTTGAGTGATCAGAATCTCAAGTGCAACGTAACAACTCTGCCTTACTCGGAGTACAACGATATTGGCCTCAGGGGAGTCTGCTGGAAATGGAATGAAGACGCGAAGAAATCCTTTGGACTGACAGGGGAGGGCTGCGGAGTGATTGCACAAGAAGTCAGAATGCTGTATCCATGGGCTGTGTTACAGGGAAAGGATGGCTACTTAAGAGTGCAGTACAACATGCTACGTGAGATGATCTACGCTTTTCGCAACAAAAGCTTGTCGCTGTGTATGTAGAGACGACAGGCAGACCTTCTTTTGCGTTGGGCCTTCGCGCGAAAAGCTAACAGAAGCGGGAGCAAAAAGCGACCGACGAACACCAGCAGTGGATGTGCGCATGTATAGCTCAATCAACAAAGCAAGAACACAACTTTCATTTTATTTTTAGATTCATAATTTTCAAATGTGAATTTCGAGGCACTTTCTTTCAGCTGATTATCTAATGCTAAATTTGTGTGTGATCAGCGATCAGCTATCAGGAAAACTGATATTAAGTGTAATATTCTCAGTTTAGTTATTTCCAAGTTATTGTTTTTTTTGCCATACGACCAAGCATGAGGCTAAGATGATCTTTCTTTTGTGCGTGTATATGAACGGAGATACAGTCGAGGGTAAAACACAAAAAAAGGGAAGGAAAACATCGAGGTCAATAAGCCGTGCTATTATTATACAGTATAGCACATAAAAGGAAAATCATTTTTTTGCTGGATTTAGTTAAGTTGTCCTGAGCCACGGACATCATCCGGAATTTTATGTTCTTACTCTTAGATCGCTTTACGACTCCCAGCAATGGGTTGTAAGGCTCTCATTTTAGCATTTACAACTCGATTTTCTTTTAACGAAAAAGCAATAACAGTCGACTTCTGGTTGACGTCAGCCTCTCAGTAATATCTGTGCTTAAGCTCTATAATTATTGTGGAGGTCCCTCGTACAGCGAGTTCAAACACTCACCTGACCATTGGCTAGATTTGTTCACGGTGTCCTTAAGGGATACCCCAACCCTAGTTTGCTGGTCATGTTTCATTTTTCTTTGATTCTACCTGCCTATTTTGCTGGAGATTTTGCGAACCGATGTAAAACCAAGTTGGTCAAGTTGGCTCGATTCATTTGAACTTAATTGTCCTAAATATATATCTGCATGCTAGTATTTACTCAAATTTACACCTTACCGAAACTATAGCTTTTATTACAATAGAGATATTAGCGAATTGAAATTTTTTGATCCAGACAATGTAACGGTTAAAAAAGGTCGCCAACCAAGGTGTTTCGGAAAGATGAACTATTTTAAGACTTTTATAGGGTTTTTTTTTACATAATGGGTTACCCTAGCACTCAGATATTTCCTCTTTTTTCCTTCGTCGTGTTTACAGGGTAGCCAGGGTTACTCGGGTAGGCGGGTTGTTCTATGATCCTATCTGCGTGTTAGGGTTACCCTGGCAGGCGGATTAACTTTTTCCCTTGTAAACACTCCAGGTAGGGTTGATCCGCCTACCCGGGTTAACTTTCTATTTGTTTCCAGACCCTTTGAGTGTAACCGCACATCAAGGTAATTCCCCTGAAATAAAACTGCCGATAGATTTTTGTTCAAACTTTGTCCAGTGAATATTTATCATATGAGAACTTTAATTATGAAATAAAAAAGGGGGGTGCCCATGCTCGTTAAGGAGCAGTGAGGCATTAAAAATGTCCCATTTTAGCATTATTTAATGCTTAATACAAGAACGCATTCCAAGTTATTGTAAACTCTTTGTGAGCCTAGACTCAAGAAAACACGCCTCAAACTACAGTCAATACTTGTGTCGGACACAAATAAACTTTTTAAGTTTGATTTTGACTCTTTCTTTATCGCATAGCACGCTTGAGCAAACTGGCGTTCGAAGATAAAAATATACAGTCAAATTTTCCCAAACTTCGAGTTGTCATAAGAACTTCACTGGTTCCTCCTAGTAACGACAAAATCCGTGACGATATGGTCAAGGGTGAAACTGGCCAAATCATCGAAGAATACTTTCCCAGGAATACTATTGAAGTCGTCTATATTCCAACTGTCAACGACTTCAAAGATCAAAACAAATTTAGCAAGTCTGACTGGGAAGCATTTCAGAGTCTGGCAAGTAACCCACAAAATTCCCTGAAGAAGAGAAGTTTTGAGGGAAGTATAATCGATGGTGTAACATTTAAACAGCTCGCTGGCAAGGTTGTGGAAGCAATAAATTCCAACGATTTGTGGAAGGATTTCGGGGATTTTTATGCCACCTTAGAAAGGGACATTTGCAGACGAACTCATGAGAAGCACATCAAGCCAGTATTAAGGCGAACTTCAAAAGAAATAATACACAAGATGATTGAAGCTTTGGATGAATTTAAAAAGGATTGTGTCCTAGAAGATGAAATAACCAACACCAGGGAAGAACTCAAGGTCACATTTGAAAAGAAAAGAGAACTAGAGGACGAAGATAAACGGAGAAGAAAAGAAGAGGAAGAAAACAAATGGGAACCTTATTGGACTTGGGCTAAATGGATCGGTATTTATGCTTTAGGTGCGATTACCCTTAGCGATAAAGACCTCAAATACAACGTAACAACTCTGCCTTACTCTGAGTACAACGATATAGGGCTCAGGGGACTGTGCTGGAAATGGAATGAAGACGCGAACAAATCCTTCGGACTGACAGGGGAGGGCTGCGGAGTGATTGCACAAGAAGTCATAGTGCTGTATCCATGGGCTGTGTTACAGGGAAAGGATGGCTACTTAAGGGTGCGGTACGATATGCTACGTGACATGATCTATGTTGTTCGCAACGGTGGCCATTAGACGTGTATGTAGACGTGACGGAGAGACCTTCTTTTTGGTTAGTCCTTCGAGCAAGAAGCAACCATAAGCGAGAGTAAAAAACGACCAGAAGCGACAGCAGAAGTATAGTGAGTAGAGGCGCGCATATATAGCTCAATCAACAAAGCAAGAGGACAAGTTTCGTTTCGATTTTAGATTCATAATTCTTAAATGGGAATTTCGAGGCACTTTCCTTAAGTTGATTATCTAATTATAACTTTCTCTATGATTATCAATCAGCTATCAGCAAAAACTGATATTAAGTATTTCGAAGTTATCGTTTTGATTTATCACATATGGTGTGTGAGGCCAAGGCGGCTTTTCCTTTTGTGTGTGTTCATGGACAAAGACACAGTCGAAGGTAAAACACTAAAAAGGAAAGGAAACATCGAGGTCAATAAGCAGCTATTATTATACAGCACAGCATATTAAAGGAAAATCATTTTTTTTTTTGCTGGATTTAGTCAAGTTGATCTGAGCCACGGACGTCAGCCGGAATTTTATGTATTTGCTTTTAGATCGTTTTTCAACTCCCAGCAATTGGTTGTAAGGCTCTCATTTTAGCATTTACGACCTGATTTTCTTTTAAAAATATATGTGCTTAAGTACTATAATTATTGTGGAGGTCCCTAGTTCAAACACGCTATCTTACCATTGACTAACTTTGCTCACCGCTTTACATAAAGAACCAAGTTGTTAGCCTTGCGCCGGTTGGGATTTTTAATAGTTTATTTTCAATTTGTAATATTTGTTTGTTTACAAGTTTACAGTGTCGCTAATTAAGAAGGCTGGCGACAGTTTCCAGCACTTTTCCAACAGCTATACTTTGATGGATGAATACCTCCTCTGTTTATCAAATAATGCTACAATGTGGCTATTACATAAATACGCAGCCATTGGTGTACCAATATGGCAATCTTTATGGCATAATGGGTTACCATGGCATCAGTACAACCCGTTAAAAAAACCCCTTAATTTCAGCATTAAATGCTTTTTACTCAAAAACTAGCTCGGTGGCCCTCAATGTTTTATTATCCAGTTGTGATAAGCATGATAAGATGTAACTTTTTGCAAAGTCTTAAAAAAATTCTGTTCACTAGGTCCAGAATTACCCCTAATATTTGAACACTCAAGTAGCACTGAACCCCTCCCCACCCCACCCCCATGACAGAATTTTTTGCATTTCAAAGTACAAAACCAAATTTGATAAGAAAAAGTGGAGTTACCTTGCTGTGTTTTTTTTTCAATTTGCAATAGTTAAGGCTAAACTTAAAGATGTCTTTAGCAGGTGATACTTTTACTATGGCAGCCTATTGTGTCACAAAAGTTATAACGACGTGTTCACCAATGATTGAGCAGTTTTTTAATATCAGCGTCAATTGATAAAGAGTGGTTATAATGACCCATCAAAATCTAAGTCTTGCATTGAAAGTGCTAGAAACTGTTGCCAGCCACCTCAAGTCAATTTTTTTTAGGTGTTATGATTTCTTTCGCGTGGCAGACATTTCTTGAAAAGGGTTGTGAAGAATAATATTTCAGAGCCTCTGTATTGTCGAGATTCATTGCGGGAAACCCCAGACGCTAGTCTGCTGTTCATGTTTCATTTTTCTTTAATTCTACCTGCCTATTTTGCTGGAGTTTTCGCGAACCGATATAAATCAAGTTGGTCAAGTTGGTCAAGTTGGATCGATTCATTTGATTTTTATTGTTCTAAATATCTGCATGTTAATATTTACTCAAATTTACGCTTCACCCAAATTGTACTAGTTTTATTAAAATAGAAATGTTAACAAATTAGAATTTTTTGATCGAGACAATGTAACAGTTAAAAATAGTCGCAACCAAAGTTTTTTCGGAAAGATGAACTATTTCAAGGCTTTAATCGATGTAGCTAAAACGGCATTTTGCATAATAACTTCATGATTGTGTCAGACCTTCGATCGCAAAGAGCCAAACTTGTTATGGCTTGTATAAACTGATTTTGGCTAAGTCGTATTTATTTTCAAGTTAAATGATTCCAAAATTAATTTCGTCTAGCTTCGAATTCTCGACTTTTAATTGCCAGTAGGTTTTAAATAATTTTAGATAGGGTTTTCATAGATTTTGTAATTATTGCATATTTTAGAGGACCACAAGTTTATTATTTGTATTCCTATTAGGTGTTTAACCCTCTATAATTAAATATTTATTTTTATTTTATTTTTTTAGCTTCATTATGCGGTTGTTCTTAATGCTGTTCTGAAATTTTCGCAACTCTGCTGAAGAGTCGGTGTTTGTCATTCGTATTTTTAAAAGCAAAACTGTTTCAATATATGGTACTAAAAAGTTTCAACGTAGCTCTCAATGGCTGCATGTAAACGCCTCGTAGCCACTTTTGATATTCCTCACCATGCCTGTGATATTTCCCCACGATATTCAACAGTTATTCCAATTGGATTCGAGCAAGAGACTATGGCATCATGGTCTCTTGATACGAGGTGATACAAGGCGATAAATCTAATGAAATATTTTTTCGAAATATTACTCTTACAATCTCCTCTAATAGTCGTCATATTCTGTGACAAACGAGGAACGTTTCTGGGGAGATCCGAAAGAAAAGCCTCGCTGAAAATTGTCTCAAAATGGCAGAATCGAGAGTTTGCTGGTTTACGCAGCTGTCGGGATCGATAAACTACAATTGTATGTTGTTCAGAATCGATGAAATTCACTGATAAATGGAAAGATACACCACATGTACGTGACCACTATATTCCATACACCTCCATCAACTTGAATTTATTACCAATTAAGTGTCTTTATCCTTCTGCTAGCTATTAGTGACCAATCTCTCATTAGTGACAAATCTTCTCTTTGTACATATGCTTTTCAGTAAACGTTCGCCTCCCTGATATTATTTTATGATAATATGCTTTGTCAGTTCTGCACCTGTACATGTTGCTAACCGATAACTAAGACTTTGCTTATAAGACATTAGTCTGGAGCCGTTTTTAAATTCTTTCATTCTGCAACAAGGCCTCTCCGCTGTCAGCTTCCTTCCCCGCAAACTAATTACCATATAGAGGTGTTATTATAATACTAACGGCAAGTTCCCTTTCTTCGGAGAGTTTTGAGGCTTGTAAGTCAGGCTCAGGAGTAAGACCCTTCAGCAAGTGGAACGCCTCTATGTTCCACTTCAGCTCTAGCATCGTGGACACGGACTGTCAAGAAGGGTCGATTTCATTGCCATGGCTCGCTCTTTACGTTTGACCCGGGCAGAGATGGACCTGGCTTTAGTGCACTTGGGCAACGTGGTAATAACTTGAACTGACAACAACTTGATGGAGCTGGCTTTCCATGGACAACAGGACCCAAGCAAGACAGAGCAGCAAGCAATCCAAGACACAATGCAACTAATGCTGACTTGTCCATCTTGGTCGATCACTCGTCACAATCATGCATTATTTTCCAATGTAATTGACGGTATACTGCTTAGAAACAGTATCCCTGCTACTCAGAGAGGAGGGTGGGTGGGTGGGGGTGTAGGGCATTCAACTACAGAAGCTATAGGGGTACGCGCGATGTCAACGATATGGCTTTCGGATCGTTTTACTTATTTTATAAGTGTAAAATAATAGTTTTCACTGAATTATCTATTTTTGGGTAATAGGGCAAGGGTAAGGGTTTAGTGTGCAAGCTACACACTCCTACGATATTTTAGGAATGTTTACCCCTCCCCGCTCAACCTCCCCTCCGCTCCCCTCAAAAAATAATGGTCTGTCTTTTATGTATGTTTCTTTGATCTCCAGNCTGAGAAGCACAATCGAACTTCTGTCTGTAGGTGCCCCCCCCCCCCCCCCCCCCCCCCCACCCGTGGACAACCTGGTTACACCGGTGATTAGAACGGGCTAGATACACTTCTGATATTTTAAAAATATGTTTTTGAAGCTAAACAAAGATAATATTAAACAGTTTCGGAATTTTTCTCAGAAATATCTATCGCCCATATCCGCAACACGCCCCAAAAAGACCCAGGTTTTTTTCCTAAACGACTATCAACAGCATGCACGATCGAGTTTGAAAGTGTTTGTTTGAAACAAAATAAACAGTTTTTTTTTTTATTCCGGCAGTGGAATATAGACTACCGCAGTACAATTCATTTAGGTATGCATTAATCAGTTATTCTCTAAGGAAAACCTTATTTTTTTACTGCTGAATGCTAGGTTTCACTTTGATCTATGGGAAAAACTCAAAAACAAGATACTTCTAGGGATAACACTGTCCATAATTTTATGGATAATGGACAAATGTGCTCAGTGTTACAGGATTTAGGGATAACTGAACACCCCCTCCCCCCTCCCCCGCCCAAAAAAACCATTCCCACAACAAATACCTCACCCTCCCACACACACAGAACACTGAACCGGGATTTTTCCCTAAAAGACAATAAACAGCATGCACGATCGGATTTGATAGAGTTTGTTTGAATCAAAATAAATAGTATTTTAACTTAATCTACGGACTTGGTCTGGATACTCTTCTTCTTTCTAACGATTTTTGGTAAGTAGTCATTTTAATTTCATTCATTTTTTCCCTTTTGGTTATGCGGCTCAGCATCGCACCATGACGCAAAACCTGAAAGTTAATATGTAGAAAAGAAAAAACAGACATTTAATATAAAACATAATATCTCATTTAAAATTATGATTACATTTCACATTGTTTAAATCAGTTAAACACCTGATAGGTTTGTCTAGAAAAATGTAAAAACAATAAATGATACGCTGTACTTCTTTGTACTCTAGAACATAGTGCACTGAAACGTTTAAAGAGATCTGTACTGAGCTGTGGTAGTTAAATTTTCCAGGAAAAGATCTTCAGTGATAATAAAAGACATGTTTACTGGTAACGATACAATTCTAAGACATTTATCCCTTGGGTTGATGACATCACTCATACATTGTTTACAGCTAACTGTTAAAATTGTTCAATTTCTTACGCCTGACGGCTAAATTTTTGGCCCGTTGTACGGCTAACCGTTAATCCCATAGAGACTCTTAATACGACTAATAATACACATGAAAAAATTACTCGATTCTGATTGGCTAAGAGCAGTGCAGTTCAAGTGTAAGAACAGTGCAAAAAGTATAACACCAGTACAAATTGCACATCGAAATTCTGGATTATAATTGACTGAAAGAAAATAGGAACTTTTCTAAGAAAATGATATCACGTAAAATGATGACGAAAATTTTGTGCTGAAACTGTGAAAAAAGTTTTCTCAGATGAGAAAAAATGGCTTCAACAAAGATCTTCCGGCACTTCCTCCGCGCGAATTTTTTCATGTGAGTTTTTCATGTGAGTTTTTCAAAAAGCTGAAATTACACTCGCCGAAGTGGCTCGTGCAATTTCAGCTTTTTGAAAAACTCACTCGTGCAAATTAATTCCAAATTGAACTC